TTCTTCTTACTGTTCTCATCACTTTCATCACCCTTTACTTATGGCCAACACTCTGTAAGGACTGAACAGTCAGCGTGCTATTAATAGTAGTTTCAGATATATCGATCGCTGAACTATTTAACGATTCGCATTTGTGACAATGCTGATCCAACAGCTTGCTTTATTGCGCTCTGCTCAATGCTAAGATCGGCCCTCTACGATCCACGCAACCAAACTATTGATCTCATCAATAAGGTTTCTTTCTTTAACCTTCTGACATCGAACGATTGGTCAATTATTTGTGATATTTGATGCGTATAATAGTTAATTTCATTTCTGATTGTTTGGACGGCGAGTTTGAACTAATCATTTCAGTGTATTTACAAGCAATCAGAGTTGTTCGTACGAGGTGGACCGTTGGATTTGGATAAGATTGTGAAGGCAGTGCATGATTTCATGCAAGAATTTCGTCCACGGGTTGAAGATTGCGATGCGGTTAAGACTGCGATCCATTCGGTGGAGCTTGCCGTTCAACGTCTCGTTACCGGCGCAAAAGCATCGGTTGGCTTCTTGTCTTATGAAATAGCTTAAAGAGAGCAACATCAAAATGAGAAATTTACACATAATTATCCGTCATTATCGTGCNGTTCGTGGTTTTCAAAGCAAAAGCAATCCTGGTAGTCTTGCCTCGTCAGCATATGGTGAACTGCCGGGACAAGTAAGTTTATGAATGTTCTCAGCAAATGATGCGTTCCTTTTGGCCTAAAATGTAAATTACATTTTGGTGAGTGTTACATATAAACGTATTGAATGTTTGTTTCTGAGCTTATTCCTCTCTTGTTCGCAGTTTGCGATAGGGAAAGTAATCTAGTATCCCCAGTTCACATTAGTATTCAATCGTTTTTACGCTTGAACGTAACTTATTTCAGGTGCTACCTACAAATATGGAAGATGCTGTCCAGCGACTAGTGGCCAAGATTGTTTATGATGTAACGGGACCGGTAATGGTTTTAGATAGATTTGCTTGTTTTCATTGAATGAATTATTCATCATGATTTTAATGCCATTTCTGAACATATTTTTCGAAGATTTCGGAGTGACGTATTTGCCAGAACTTTTGAGTTAATTATTTGGTTGATAATCTTGAATGGAATATCAATATTTTGTTCATTGCCATATATGAATTTAGGGTTTGCGGAATCTGCATACATTTTTGAAGGACAATCCAGATGCACGCAAACATCTCGATGACGCGATCAAGAAATTTCCGCAAAATATTGTATGATTTTACAACTCTTTAAGTAGTCATTCTTTTATCTTATTTGAAGGCACTTCGATAAGATTCGAATTGAGTGATGTTAATTCGAGTAAAGTCACATAAGATGACTTTTAGTGCTAGAGTTAGCATTCTTTCGGAAATGTTCTTATTCTGATTGCGTTGCGGTTTCGATTATTATAGCGAACTCTTGGATGGTTGGGGAAATGAAAACCCAAATTTTTTCCATTCGTCTCATACTTTAAGCGTTGCACTAATAACTGCTTAATTATGTTGTTTCATTAAATTTTTAATGAAAACAATTCAAAAACTGAATCTGTAAAGGGCGGTATGCTAAAGACCTCAAGAGGCAAGCATTCAGTGTTTCGGGTGAGTCAGTGTGATCAGTTACTTGTTGGATTGCATGCCGCCCATTTCATTTTATACTGTTCTGCCGTATCTCTTTCCACTTTTTTTATCATTCAAGTGATATCATATAGTGTTGTTTCATGAGAACCAAAAAATTGACAAATATTTCTGCTATCTATTTAGGTAAAACTGTCCTCCTTGAAATTCTTCAGTTCGCTTCTTTGAAGATGTTGCTTTTTTCTTCGGGAAATGAGAGCTATTTTATGGTTTACTACTGAATTTATGGTTTACTATTACTATTGAATGTAATATGCTTACGAGAGTGATTTCATTTTTCTATCTTCTAAGTCTGTGCGTCTTCTTTGTATATGCTTGTCATTTACTGAGTGGTCGTGCGTGGTTCGCATTCCAGTCATTATCATCCGAAGCATCTTCTGAATCCAACATGAAATCTTGATTTTTTGCAGGAGTTTATTGTTTATCAGCTCAAGAAGATGGATAAAAGTGATCGCGAAACACCTGAAATGTCTGCTGAATATCTGAAGGTTAGGTCTTGTTTTTTTTTTTTTTTTTAAATTCCTTCTTGCTAGTCGAATGATGCACGCACAGCAGTGTGATTCAATAGCTGTCCTACATGAAAGCTAATCACCATTATTGTTGTCTTCGTAATGAGGCCGTTTCATGCGATATCTCGTTGCAGGTACACGAATTTGTGAATCAGGTATGTAAGGATTCAGACGCTTTCGAACGAACGGGTGTTTGGCCAGCAGAGGAGGAGGCAAACGATGCAGGACAACAGGCAGTTGCTGTTGAGACCGTGAAAACCACGCTCAGACGATCATTCCAGCCAGAAGCAGGGTTGGTTCGCCTTTTTCTTACCTGTCTTTTATCGAGCTATCTGTACTTCTTTTTTTAACGAACACGTAATAATCGTTAATTATTATTTTGCGTTGAGTTCGTTATTTGCCATAGCTATCAAGATTTGGATGCGTTTAAAGAAAGTGATTGTGTACGTGAAATGTTCTTGTTGATGAATGAATGGAACGCTGCGGACTGCTCTCGAAGAAGAATTAGGCGTGAAATTTTTTCTCTAATTTTTTCTAAAATTCTTGCAGGCACTTCGCAGAGGCTGCCCCTGAAAACGAATCCGTAGTGCCATCGACGCCTCAAAAGCGAGCCTTAACAGCCAGCGATGTGGAACCCCTCAAGCAACGTTTATTGAATATGCGTCGACGACGTCAAGTGGAATGATTGGACGATGTCTGTTAGTTGCGAACGCAATGATCTGAGCGGATACATCAACGATCAGTGGTTCATTTTGCGTATGCACCATCGCGTTGTGCGTCCTCATTTTTAGAATGCTTTTCGTAAATTTTTATTAATTGGAGGAATTCTTTACGGGAGTGTCTTTGATTAACATCGTCACAATTCTTTTTTATTATGATGATCAACGTCTAGCAGCGTTGATCGATAAGGTATCTCCTTGAAAAAATGGAAACGCATGACGTGACGGTGTTTGCCTTATGCATTTTTTGTGGTTTTCTCCAGCCTGCTGAAGGTTCACTGATTGTTCATTTATTATTGCACCATTGGATATCTTGCCATTGTTGCACGAATTTTCATTGTTCCATCGGAATGAATAATTCTGAAATGATTGGTGAGTGTTCATTCAAATTAGTTCATTTGAAAATGTTGTTTGCACACATTTGTAATATATGTTTGTTTAGGCTTTACCACTGCTAATGAATATTATCAGGACATTTTTGTCTGACTGTGTTATAAGTGGCTCATTTAGCGTTGATAGCTATCAACAACTGCTTTTCGTTGATCTTCATATTCGATTTTTTGATCAGTTGCACTCCTTAGACGACTTGGTTCGACGACTGATGAACACATAAAAAGATAGTGGCGTTCATGATCTCGATGGTCAGAAGGATCGTCGAGATCATGAACGCCACTATCTTTTTATGTGTTTTTTTTTTCTTATCTTTCGCATTATTGATTCGATGGGTATTGTAACTAAATTACCAATTAAATTATGTTTCCGAACATAAGTTCAATTTGCATTTCTCTGCGCGTTAATGCGCACAACATTGACCGGCGTGATTAATTTTTTCGTTGAAAGTATTCGTATCGTTACATATTATGCTATACTTATGCAAAAAACGTTTCTTTCTGTTTTATTCTTATCTTTATTTGATTTGTTCTTGTAATCATACGAAAGAATTGAATGTCGAATTTTAATTGTCGAGTTCTCAAATCTCATCCAAATAAACAGTTCTTGCACCAACCTTCTTGTAACTTATCGAATCGTTACTGTGCATAATGAAACCAAAATGAAAGAGTTCGAGTTGGGGATGGTCTCTTGCATCTATGATAGATAGCCTATCGACTAATTTGACATCAACATCGAAGTGAAGGTTGCAATGTGCTGTGCAGTCGCGGGTTATAATGTTGCGATGTTTATCGTTGATGTTTATTGTTGTCGTTGTTATTGCTGTCTTTCTCATCTCCTCAAGTTATTCAGAAAGATTCTTCTCAAACGACGTAAATTTTCGAAGAGTGCGTTCAAGTTAAATGTAACAGTGCCGTAAGATATCAGATGTCGTTGAATGACGGTCTTTTGTTGTTGTCAAACCGAAAAATTAGTATAATATCTTTCACATCTGTGGAAATTCGACGAGCGTACAAACAGCTCAAACTAGTCATTCTAGTGATTCAAATAACAGTTAACAGTTACTAATACCTAACAAACATGTTTACGTTCAACTTCCTATTAGAACAAGCACAATGATAGTGACTGCAAGGAGATACCTAGATGACCAAAGACATGAAACAAGGGTGAATGTCATGAGTGAGAATCGCCACTGGTAAACGGCACTTTCCGAAATAGTGCAGTCGAACGTGATCATTAATTTGGATACCAAAAACTTTAGTCTGCTTCATACAGTATTTTTTAGAACTTTGATACATTGTCTTATTGAGATTAGCACATTTCCGTTCATTTTTGGAATTTTTCGTATCGATACACTCTGAATACTTCTCGGAATAAACTTTGAAGTAGTAGGTTCCTCAGCGCTTAGCACTCAAAAATAGTATTTATTGGGTGGCTCTGCTATCGTGTGCATCCTCAACGATCAGTGAAATATGCTGAAGGATTGATAACGCTCGCTGAATGCGCCCTCATTTACGCTTTTCTAAAAGAGCTCGGCAACGATTTTTTGTTGATGTTCTGCTGAAAAGTGAAGCAAATTGAAGCAACATTCATCGTGCGAATTAATCGTCGTCGATGATGTCTGGTGAGGAACTGCTGCGATGCAATTATATGTTACCGACTAAAAAGAGAAGATGTCGTATGTTGGTGAAGAAGGGGAACCTCTTCTGCGGTGAACACTCCATTCATGATCCAAGCAAATCGGTTAGTTCCGCCTTCCAACCGTTCTCATTCCTCGAAATTGCTCATACAACAATTGCTTCACATCTTTACTGCGTCTTCATAGCAACACTTTGTGATACGTTGATCTTGCACGATGGCACTTAATTGTTACTGTTGATCTTCACTTGAAATATGGCTTAATGAGATGTGAAATAGAATGGAAATGGTCTAGAGTGATTGGCTTCATTGAAGAAATCACCCAAATTAATCATGTTGTTGCATTTGTTTGAGTGTTTCGTTACATTCCTAAATATTGACTGATTTATTCTTTTCCCAACATCTCATTATTGTTATGGTTGTTAATAGGAACAAATCTAATAGCATTGTAACTATGAACAATATCATAATAATGGTTAAAATAAGACTAAGCACAACTATACTAGCAATAACAATAATGATAGATCTTTCAAGGAGCGTGTAATTTGTCCGAATGATCCAAAACATACAGTGAAAAAGGATGAGCTGGAAAAACATCTAGCAACGAAATGCAATTCACGATTACCCGATGAGCCGTGGATTGTGTTCAATATCAATGTTGCTAATCAAGATAGAGGCAAGACTCTTTTCGTTTGTTCTTAATGTACTTGTTGTTCGACGAGTTGCACGATCCATTATGGGACTTCTGAAATTGCAGCACTTTAAGCATTATTTCTAAACGCTGTCAAAGATTCAATCGTTCGAAGTATTATATAACAATACAATTGTCGTAATATTCTCATTGTTCAGTTACAGATCGAGTCGATGAATGCGATAATCGACGTCCAGATGACGAGCAATTGTCTCGAATGAGTGCTTTGATTCAAAATGCTATCCAAAAGGTTTCCTTTTGCATTACCGATCGAGTGCTTACCTCAAAACAAATCACGGATCATCTCAGCTCAAATACGCATCTTAGTGGCGAACATCGCAAACATCTCATACAACTGTCATCAATCATTGGTTATTTTTATCTTCGTTGAGCAACTCTTGGTTACACGCCTCACTTTCTCGAATATTTTATGTGTTCAAGTTGCAACTGCTTGAATTTTTAGTGTTCTCGATTTGGTTTTTATGGAACGTGAAGAACTTGAATTGAAAAATGTATCGATTTGCAATTCTGAATTCAG